CGGCCGGCCAATGGCCCGCCGCTCGGCCAGCTTCGGCTTTCAGCACAGCTCAGCCGAGCCGATGCATATGCATTCGGCTCGGCTCAGCCGCTCGGCCATGATCGGGAGCTGTACGGGCTATTGTGAATAGCCCGTACAGCACCCCTTCGGTTCTACTGAACCGAAGGGGTCCTGGGGCCGAAGCTAGCCGAAGGATCAGCCGAAGCTACGGCTAGATCCTTTGGCAGCTTTGTGAATAGACCGCAAAGTGTCAGGATTACTCACCTGTGTAACCCGGAAACTTTCAGTGTTATTCACAAAAGGGTGAAGAGTTTGGAGAAGTGAGCAATCTGGGACAACATAGCTGAACTGGAAAGTGAGCGGAATTGGAGCATTTTTCGAAGTCAGCTATGTTGTCCTAGATTGTTCACTTCTCCTGCCTTCTCCAAACTCTTCACCCGTTTGTGAATAACCCTGTTTGCCTCAAATCAAAGACCTGGAAATAGTCACCCAAGAGGTTCCACAGCAACACTCTGTATTATATACACATTGACTATATTGCTGCTGTTAGCTCACCCTTTTATAGAAAGAGGGAATTGGTTATCCACAGACATCTCAACTCTACCGGATGTTCCGGGAGTCTCCTGCTATATGATAGCGGCTCCCGGACACCCGGGAGAGAAACATTTTCTCCCGGAAAGGTTTACTCTGCTCTTCATAGGGTAGAGCACAAACAAGTATTGGGCCATGTTGTCACCTACACAGCTGAGTGAACTGATGTCCAGTAGAGAGTCGGCCTTTCCAGGTAAGGACAAAAGGGAAGGTGTGTCCATATGAACGTCCTGTTCTGTAGATTGGATGGAGGTAGCAGAATCCTCTACAAATACCTGACAATGACACGTGACACTTTCTTAGGTAAGAAGACATCAATCCATAAGAAATCTACTCTGCAAGAACAATCTACAAAGCATGCAGGTTTGTTCATGATTTTCACTAGTTCAGCCAAACAATACAATGGGAAAGATGAAGGACCTTAGCAACTCTGACCATGGAATGATTGTTAGTGGCAGACATCATGTTTACAGCATATCAAGATTTGCAGATGTGATTAGGAAATGCAGACTGCTTTTCCAATGTAAAAAATACACATTTTACTTAAAGTGCATGATGCAGTTTTAATGCATGCATTAAAATGTAATGCAGGGCAAGCAATGTTTTATGTGCGTTGTTCATGTCTCTTCTTTCTGCAGGCTCATGGGAAATATAGACCTGTGGCTTGAAAAATGCACTAATAAAAACACATATTGCATTTTTTATGCATTTGCCAATGTGTTACCATTGACTATAGTGTACTGCATTTCTTTTACCAAAATACAGAAAAGTTTCAGCAAGTAAAATTTATTTTAGAAATGCAATATCATCTAACACAGTGGTTCTCAACCCGTGTAACCTCAGGACCCAAATTTGTCCTTGGTCATTAAGTCGCAACCCACGTCACACTGCACTGGAAGACACGGCATTGCGGTACTTCACGTTCCGGTGCGGGCGATTGAACTGTGGGTGGGGTTTGGGGCGCCATTCAAATGAATGGCAATGCCACGCACCTTCCACATGAGAACACGAGGTAGGTGCGATTGTGTGGTAAAGTTTAACGCATGGTTAATGCACTTTACTAGTGTGACAGGCCTTCAAAAACACTGACAGACATACACAACCCTAGACAGAATCTCACACACTCACAGACATTCTCACACACATATACACACTCCAAAAACTTTTAATTTTTGTTACTTTTTTTTTCCACCCCTTCTCCCTACCTTACGAGAACTGGAGTGGATCCTCAGCCTGGGGTCCAGTGTGGGCTGCATTGCTGTGACGGTGCTCCATCCACCTGTGCATTGCTGGTACAGCTCCCTTGCACAACCTCTAGAGGTGCCGGGAGCCAGAATGTGATGTCACTCCACAGGGCACGCGAGGGAGCTTTAAGCAATGCACTTATGGATGGAGCTTCCTCGCAAATATATCCCCAGCCCACCCCACCTCAAGCTGACACTTGGTGCTGGGCAGCATATTTTGAAAGGCTGCTCGGTGCAAGAACGGACAATATTGCGCTACTGGGAGGCTGAGGAGCCTCTCACCTAGTGCAGAGGAAGGCTTGCGGCGACGCACTTTTGGGTTGTGACCCACCAGTTGAGTACCACGTATCTAACACAATGCACTGATGAGCAACTTCATAGATAGGTAACTTTTTTCATACACTATTAGCATGCTGTGGTCCTGCATTGTAGTGCACATAAAACACACTGGTGTGAACGAACCCTTAGTGTGGGGTGGGAAACAGAGTTGGGTTTTAGGAATTGATCTATACATTGTGGAGGGGTGTAAAGAAGGATGGACAATGTTGGCATACGTAGAGAAATGTCAAATCTGCGCTTATGGGTTCAATCTAGATAACTAATGGATAATATTGCAGCTGCTGCACTATAGACACTATGGTCAAGTGAGTAAATAATAATAAAATGTGCAGCGCTGCACATTTATTATTATTTAATGTTGGCATACAGACAGACACTGGAACCACAATATGCAAATGCATAGAAGGAAGGACAAAGTGAGATTTATCTGATCTTTAGTGTGTGGATACTCTATGAGCACCACAAGAATTAATGGTGGGGGTGCTATCACTGTTATATATCACCAGGGTATTGCTTACCAAGCTACGTGTTTCTCTAAAAAGAAACGAGAAAAGAAGCTGTACAGGCACGACCATCACAGACACAAGTATCCCGATAAAAATACTTTCCCATGTAACCAGAGACTGCAGTCCTATAACAGAGCTGAGACACAAAGAGCAATTTCACCTTATCGTTCAGTTACTGCACAGAACAAATATTCACCAAAATATTTAATTTTTACCTGAATCCCCACCCCAGAAAAAAAAAATGTTTTTAAATAAACATAATAAGAAGAAGGATATTTTATAAACATGAACATAGTGAACAGACCAAGAAGAAAATATTCATAGAAAAAGAGCATAATAAACAAAAAATAGAATAGGGGAAAAATATTTATATAAATGAACATAAAAAAACATGACAAGAAGTAAATATTTAGAGTGAATGAGCATAAAAATATAAATCAATAACCCTGTATGTTTTGTGAATGTGGGAACTAATCCAAGTATTTTTTGAAGCAGTTTGTGTTTCCCTCTGATATAGATACCTGTGGAAGTGAATTCCACATTTCTACCACTCTCAAAATAAAATATCCCTCATGCAGTTTACGATTATCCCCCCCCCCAACGTCTTGTGCCCTCGAGGTACTTCATCTAAGTAGTGCATTCCCAATACTGCAGTCCCCATTGATGAGTTTGTAAACATGTCACCTCTTAAAGCAGACCTTTACCCATATCTTAACGACAGACACCTTTACAAATGTTTAGTAACGATAATCTACAAACACATACTTCTAGATAATTTCCGGCTTTGTATTGTTTGCATTCTTTGCACACCTTATTTCTCTTTTCTTTCCCAGTCTTCTGGCACTGGCCATATTTACTAAGGGCAGGTTACTAGCTCTCCATTTACTTCCTGGATTAGTGGCACATGTGACTAGATATGTGACTAGGACATGTGACCATGCACATCATCTCTGGGGAGGAAAATGCCTTTCCCTGAGATCTCTTGAGATTATAGATGAGATTTCCCAGCAAGGCTCTGCTGATGACAAGGCAATCCCAGTGTGCATTGCTTTGGCAAACTGAAGTCATTTTGCCCTTTCAAAGCAGGAAGTGAATGCTCTGCAAGTGTAAGTATTTCATAATCGCAGCATTTTACACCTGACATGTCTATGTAATTATTAATCATCATCAGGGAATCATCATATATAGAGTGGAGTTTGAAAGTCAGAAGAGAGCGACAGGGGTAGTGAAGTATGATAGATGGTTAGCGATTGTTATTGGAAGTGGGTGTAAGATATTGATATTTTAACTAAAGGTACTAATAATTACTACAACTAAGAGATAAGGTGAAATCAATATCTTTGAATGTTTATGTATAAATGTACTTTTATGGAAACAAAATAATAAAAATATATTAAACAAAAAAAATCATCTATAGAGTGATGCATTGGTAGAATTTGATTTTGGAGTGTAAAGGTCCGCTTTAAGGGTCCCTTCTCTAAGGAGAACAATCGTAATTTTTGTAGGTGTTCTTGATAATTCAGACCCTCCATCCACCTTATTAATTTGGTAGCCCTTCTCTGATCCTTTTCTAGCTCACGGACATCCCGCCTAATTATTAATGACCAGAGTTGAACTGTGTACTCAAGATGGGGCCTTACCAATGTTTTGTAAAGGGGCAAAATTATATTTCTATCCCGTGAATAAATTCCTCTTTTAATGCAAGATAATATTCTACTGCCTTTATTAGCTGCAGCTTAACACTGCATGCTATTGCTCAGTCTATAGTCTTTAAGGACCCCAAGATCCTTCTCCATCTCCGTTTTCCCCAGTGAAACCCCTCCCAAGGTGTATTCGGCATGCATGTTTTTAGCTCCCAAGTGCATGACCTTATATTTTTCTAGATTAAAGCACATCTTCGACATCACTGCCCACTCTCCAATTTTATTGAGGTCTTGGAGAGTGGCCAGTGATGTAGAGCTGCAACAGTTATTCGATTAAGTCGATTAAAATCGACGATGGAAAACGTTGTCAACGTTTTCCATCGACGATTCGTCGGCTAAAATTCAAATTTCCCGCTCGACACTGCTTACGCCCGCCGTTTACGCCACTTACGCCGCTTACGCCACTTACGCCCGCTGCTTACGCCACGCCCACGTCGTTTAAGCCGCTCGCGCCTACGCCGGTATACCCGCTCACGCGACGCCGCTTACGCCACGCTGAGGACATGTGTCTGGCCCTCTCATCCCGGTGAGCTGCCCGATTCGCCGCTGCCCGCCGACATGATCAACGCCGCTGCCCGCCGACAACACCAAGGTAAGTGGAGATCGGCCGGGGGCTTTTTAATGCTGCCTGTGTGT